TTATTACTCGATAAAGAAAAATTGACGAGAACTCACCTGGTCCCTTGTCGCTCGTATAAATCACAGTGGTTGCCCCGGCTTGCCTGGCGGAATAGGGGCTCGGTCTCACCTCGCTAAGGGGGGGATCGTAATCGGCGATCCTACCTGGTGTCCTTTGCACCTGCGAGCTCGCTGTTCTAGCGGCCGGTGGATTCGCGTTCACGCCCGATGTAGGCGCGATCGGACCGTCCGTGTACTCTACGTACTCTAGAGTCAACAATACACAAGCTGCCGGTATGCTATTCCACAGACACGGATACAAACGCCAACTTTTAAACCATCCGCTCGGACGCGTTCGCCATAATATTGGCTATTCGCTGATATCTCGCTTTTCACGGCGCGCCACGCTAAGTTTCTCGCTGGTATGTGTGTGTCTATGTACAGATTAGGTTTATCGTGCGCGTTCGTGGAATGCCTAGCGCTATTATTGCCATCTATCGGATCGAGCGTGGATGGGACAGATAAGGGAGACAGATAAGCGAACAGTCCGCTATATAGTCCCGTAGTCGAGGGTAGTTTAACATCAATTCCGTTAGACGACGTTGTGAAAGGGAGCTTTTCAAGCGTTCCTCGCGCTTCACAATTACGAGGACAAGTAACCAAACGAATACTTCTCGGTACACTCGGTTAGTACTTATTAGTCATAGACAAGCTTTAACCCTTCGTGTCCATTCTAGATACTTGAATTATTGTTAAATACATATCTGCACATACAACTTCAAAGGAATAAGATTTTTCGTTTGTGTCCAGAGTTTGGCCGGTGTCGGACATTTTATCGAGTCTGATAAATACACTTGATTTTTATTAATATAAATACTTTCAAGTATCGCGAGGACATAATAAAACAGGGTTTTAAAAAAAAACCTGGTACCAACAAATGCAAACATTTAAACAACCGATAGGATTCATCAGATAGGAACGAGTGCTTTGAAAACGGTGTGAACGATCCAGTGAGCAAAGTCTCGACTCACCAATCTGTTCCCCATTTTCCCCGGTCATCGTCCTTTTCTGCTCCATGATGGCCTTCTTCTGCAGCTCGCCGTGATAAGCCACGTTCGAGATGATCTTGCTGTTCTGCTTGATTCTCAGCGTTTCCGGATCGTCGGCCACCTGGGTGAACTTGCCTTTCGCCTTCTCGAATTCGGCGTGATACTTCACGTTACTCTGGATCTTCGTGTTCTCCGCGATACGCTTCAGCTCCAGCGTTTCCGCCATCGTGGTGGCCTTCGCCTTTGGTATGTGTCTGCAGATAGAGGGAACAGCGGCTTGGATTACATTACATTACTCGAGCGGAGAGCCAGCCGATCGTTCACCAGGGGAACGTGTGTTTTCCATGTAGCAACGGTTAATTAAGCATCGGTAATCGCGGCCCGCGACAAGATTAACGAGTTCACGGTGAAACGTTTCTAACGGCTGTCTCACGCTAATTCGAGAAACCTAGTATCAATCCGATTCGAATCTCCTCGCTCTATCTCCGCCATTTTGTCCCACGCGAGTTAATGTTGAGCTTCACAGTGATACTCTGATATGGACTAATATTGTAACAATTTTGATAGGAGTACCATGATACAGTAACATTGGATTTTAAAGACAGACTTTGATATTACAGTATTGAGTTTCAGGGAAAATACTTTGATACTGTGATATTGCAATATTGGTAATAATTCTAGAAGAGTACTTTGATATGGACTAATATTGTAATGTTGTGATAATTCCAGAGGAGT